ACGACAAAAGAAAAGGGATCCCTTTAAGAGTCTCAGCATTTCCTGAGTACCGCGTTTGTAAGGGGATCTAGGAATCACAGCAGTTTGCTAATTCTGATATGCTACAACTTTATGTCAGGAAGATCCACATGGAGAGAGTCAAAGTCTACTTTATTAGATTTCCCTTTTGCATGATCAATGAAGAAATCGATGACAGTAATGAAAAGGCTCACAGAGGGTCTACACTCAATATTACAGGGCTTGTAAATATTATAAATGTGGCTCCAGGGAGATGCTGAATAGGTAAAGCATCTGCTATACAAAGCTTGAGGACCTGAGTCAGGATCCCCAGACCCAGGTACATTTATGATGGACAGATTACAGGCTGCCTCTCATTTGAATGCTTGCTCAGCAGGTAGAGATGATGGAGGAAGGACATTGGTTAATTATAATAAAGAAACTGCCTTGGCCCATTTTATTGGTTAGAACATAGGTGGGTGGGGTAAACAGAGAGAATGCTGGGAGAAAGAAGCTGAGTCAGGAGTCGCCATGGTTCTCCCACTCCAGACAGATGCAGGTTAAGATCTTCTCTGGTAAGCCACCTCGTGGACTACACAGAATATTAGAAATGGGTTAGAACAATATGTAAGAGCTAGCCAATAAGAGGCTACAGATAAGGGGCCAGGCAGTGTTTAAAAAAATACAGTTTCTGTGTAATTATTTCGGGGCATAACCTAGCCATGCGGGTGGCCGGGTGCCGGGGATGCAGCCTTGACGCTCCTAATTCAACATAGAGAGGGTCTCCTGGGGTAAGCTGGCTAGTCAACTAGCCTTACAGCAGAGCTCTGGGTTCAACTGAGAAGCACTGACTCAATAGATCAGAAGGAGAGCAATTGAGGAAGATCCTTGATACCAGCCTCAGGCCTCTACACTAGAGTGAGCTCACACATGTGTGAACACACATTCCTTCATGTATACCACATACAGACACACATTTTGCAAAAAAAAAATCTGTAAACTCAGAAATGTTAATACATAACCAATAATTATGTTGCCATGTTTGCTGCACCAGCACACACTAGACTAAATCTTTTTTTTTTTTTTATCACTTATCCCTTAAAAATGTTCAGGGAGGTGAGCAAGTTTCACCTTTTATCATAACCTATAGTTGATTAAATTCAAAGGAGAAGTCCTTGTAAAGTTCTTTTTTTCCCCCCTTTCTTTCTTTTTAATGACTTCAAGTTTAGATAGTGTATCGATACACAGCACGTCTTGTCCAAGTACGGTATGAACAGGGTGAGCTGGCAAGCTGAGGGTTAGACACTGTGCCCTGACAAGGAAAGAAAAGACTGCTCAATTGTTTCCTGAATAATCAAGAGGATTGGTCACCACCGGCCTGGACACCAGCAAAAGCCACCCAGCTTGCAGCTTCTGGATAATGCTTTTGTTACATAAAACACTGGCAACCAGAGCGTGAGAAAGTTCTAAAGAAAAAAAAAATAATAATTTATCTTTCTCTAAAGAAAATACTTTTTAAGACGAGGAACTGGAGCAAGGCAAAGACAAAATTTAAACTAGTAAAGAAAAGGCAAAGGAGGGGACAAGCTCTAATGAACTCTTGGGTACTCTGCATGCTGGGGTAAGGCAGTTGTCCCCAATGTCAGCCTGTCATCTTCACAAGGTAGGAGGTGCCTAAAGGACATCAAAACATTCTCTCAAGGAAACACCCAAAACTTGGCAAGGGGAAACACACCGCGGTTCTGACATATCTTATCAGGGCACAAATGCGTAGCCGCCCCCGTGAACTTACCCATCCTGCGTGGCGTTAATTATGTCACAGATATGCATGAACTGGCCCCAGTCTTCCGTCTGAACTCCAGCAAATGTAGCCTTCTCTGCAAAGACAGAGCTGTTTGTGTTGAGTCTGAGACACAACAGCATTAAAAAAAAAAAAAAAAAAAAA